AAAAAGATTATTTTAGTTCCTTGAAATAGGAAACTTTTGTCCAAATCAACCGTTTTTGTAGGTCTTACCAATAGTGGAATCAAATAAAAAAACGACCTGTATATACCTTCCTGACTGTTTTTTTTATTTGATTTGGTCCTCTTCGTAATTTTCACAGCATCTATTTTTTGTTTGTCACCAACTTCTGTAGGTATTTACGATGTCTTTCTTGTTTTTGAAATATTTCCAATGGGAACTTTTGAATTTGACTCTTGATGTATCTCAGAATTTAGGAAAACCTGTAGAACCCTCCATAATTGCGAACATTCTCACCTATCGCCAAACTATGATCCCACCAATTGTAGACGCACTGTTTGAATCTCAAGTTCTCATTATCAACAATATCCTCGGCGTTCGGAGTATCCGAAAAAGTCCACGTTCCCAAGTATATCAGCATCACTAAAAGAATAGGCACCATCCATTGAAGTAGTTGCTTGTCTGTAAGTTTCACTTTGTGAGCAGATTTCACTCTATAAGTTAAGGACACTCTAGAACAAATTTTAAATTTAGCAGCCGAACTTTTGAATTTATGAATTTTGACAACTAGTTTGGGATCTATTGGTTTTTTCATAGTATTTTACAAGTCGTGTTTTGAGATCAATACTCAATGATTTTGATATGTTGATTTGATACGATGATTGATCAAAAATCCTGATTTCAAAACTGTCAATGACCAATTAGAACTATGCAGTTCTTTTGTTTTGAATTTGTGAATTTTGACAACAAGTTTAGGATCCATCGGTATTTGGAGCATTTCACAAGTTTGTAGATCAATACTCAGTGATTTTGATATGATGATTTGATACGATGATTGATCAAAAATCCCGATTTCAAAACTGTCAATGACCAACTAGAACTATGCAGCTCTTTTGTTTTGAATTTGTGAATTTTGACAAGTTACCATCCATTGGTATTTGGAGCATTCCACAAGAAGTGTTTTCAGATCAATACTCAGTGATTTCGATATGTTAATTTGATACGATGATTGATTAAAACCCCAATTTCAAAATTGTTAATGACCAATTGGAACTATGCAGCTCTTTTCTTTTGAATTTGTGAATTTTGACAACTAGTTTGGGATTCATTGGTATTTGGAGCATGTTATGGAACTTAAATGATTATTGTTTTAGTAGCTCAGCTAAGGTATCGATAATTCAGGTAACATTTTTGTCATTTCAGGTACAGGTTTAATTTGACTACTTAAATGACATTGACTATATTATTGTATATTTAAGGATTTGTTTGTTAAACTCTGACAGTTCAATATACCGAAACCGATCGTAACAAATAAAAATCTTAGCAGAAATTAGACAGAAGTTATTTTTTCAATCCTATGTTTAACTATGTTAGTGTTCATTTTCAGAAATTTGCAAGTGGTTTCATATTTCAGTTAATTGAAAGTGCGTGTAAACGTTTGAAATATCAAAATTTTTTACCTCCATGTTTTCATTAATAATGCTGTATAAGTAACACAAAATCCCAAATGTCTGGACCATTTTGTAGCTATACATGAATATTGATCCAGAATAGGAAAGATAGCAGCCATCTGAAATATAATAAATTGTCATTAATGTCTTCGTGCAACTTCGTCGCTTGTTGATACTGAAAATATCAATTGAAAGAATTATCTCGCAGATATTTAGACTTCTTCATAAAAGCCTTTTATTTAATATGATGATTGAAAATACCAATTTCAAAACCGTCAAAACGACCAACTAGAACTATGCAGCTCTTTTGTTTTGAATTTGTGAATGTTGACAACACGTTTAGGATCCATTGGTATTTGGAGCATTCCACAAGTAGTGTTTTTAGATGAATACTCAGTGATTTTGATATTTCAATTTGATACGATGATTGATTAAAAATGCCAACTTCAAAATCGCCAAGGATGGAGATGAAAAACCAATGTGTTCGAGGTGCAAGCAAAAGAGAAAATGTACAAAGTCATTATCAATCTATAAGTTTCCCCGTATTTTAGTAAGTCATTTGAAAATATTCTCTCCAATGGAAAGATTCAGAGGCAAATTGAATGTTTCCTTTGACTTTTCTTCGGATGGATTAGATATGAGCAGTTATGCAGCAGACAATATGGCTCCTTGTCGTTATAATCTATATGCACTTTCAAATCACAGACACTCATATAGTGGCATGTGGTATGAATACAACGATTCACACGTGTTCCCAATTTCGCAAAAATCACTTGTGAGCGATGAGGCATATCTCCTCTTTTATGAACAGGAGGGAACGAAGCAGCACCTTAGATGTGATTTTTTTATAATCTTAGTTCTTTGAATTGATTTGTATTTCATGATTGTTCCAAATTTCATTATTTATTTTAATATTAAATCATAAGACGGATTACAAATAAAATTAGTGAAAAATTCAATTCCATGAATTATTATTTCAAAACTGAGAAGACATTGTCGTTTCTCGAACCATCAAGTTGTTTGACGTCATAGTACTACCATAGATTCAGGAAAAATGGCCTATGCGGCTCCAATTCGAGAGAAAATAGTCCCTTGTGTTATATCGCTCCGAATGTCAATTCCTTACCCCAGAAACAACTGAATGGCACCGTGTACAATGATTTCGTCGTCACCTGGTATATTTGCGAGGATGACACACAAGCGATGATGATGATCAGTGATCAGTATTTGAATCCTTACCTCTAAATACATTGTTGCACAGCCAAAAAGAGTAATACTGAGAAATATCGGGCTTGCTACCTTAAAAACTTTCAGTTTTCTGTGTTTAAACATATATACATTCAGAGCTATAGTCCAAACAACACATATAATTGAAAACGTCAGTAAGGCAATCCTGGAACAGAACGGAAGTTTAAGAGAACGTTTTTGCATGCGTGGAAACTCACCTAAAGGGCCAATGATATGTAGCCAAACACGGCGATAGATCAGTACAGAAATGACACCCAGGTGCACATTTCCTGCATTGAAAAACGGTTTTCCACGAGGTACTTCTATTTTCCACGAGTTCAGACCACGCTTCTGAAATGATTAAATTCGGTTAGGTAGAAAAGAAGAATATAACACTTACAAATGATATTGATCCCTCAATGCTATAGTTTTCGTTAGTCCATATTTAGATAACACATACAAACTGGATGGTTTGCCACTCGAGAGCATGCCACGTATAGTTGTCCGTGTGAAAAAATTGGTTTGCTCAAATCCAAGCTACAAACGGACATTGTTTGGCCTTGGGACGTATCAATAGTCCTGTCTAGATATTAGGGACTAGTGGTGTTGATATGTTTTCATCTCGGAACTTGCCATTTGAAATGATGGCTTTGACAACGTTTCTCATTAATTTTTTTATGACTAATCGCGTATAGTTGCACAGCCGTGTTGCATTTTAATTGCCCGGCAACTCCAGTGAGTTCAAAAACTCATAAAAATCGGTCAAACCGTTTCCAAAGTGTATGACAACTAACACTGTGACATGAGATTCGAAGATTCTCACGGTTAAAGTATGATGAGCTGTTTTCTCGGATTTCGCTCCGTGTCATGTGTATTTTATCCCCATAAGGATTATTTTCACAACGTTTCGGCAAAGTCTCATTTGCCATCTTCTGGTTATGTCTGGTTTTTTCAACCAGACTGATTAGTTCGAACTCTGTGTCTCTATTTATAGGGATGGATGTTTCCATCCCATGATTGTGACAGGACTTACATCGGCCAGACCAACAGACGAATCAACATACGCAAAGATGAACACAAACTAGCAGTGAAGGGAAAAGTCACCACGTCTTCTCTCTTCTAACACGTACTGCAGACATGACATAACATCAATTTCGATAACACAAAAATACTAGCAAGCAACGAAAACTTTTACTCGCGAACAATCAGAGAGGCTATCGAAATTGAAAAACGACCTAATAATATGAACAAGAGGGATGATGAGCAAAGATTACCATCAACATGAAGATCCGTTTTATCGCTTCGCACAAGCAATCAGACCGCTCAACCCCAGAAGCAAAACTCGGCACATGGCAATACAGGTACAAGAACAAAACTGGTAGTCGAGCAAACACAGGTAGTGGCAGCAACAAAGTTAAAGGGAAACATCCATCCCTATAAATTGAGACACAGATTTCGAACTAATCAGTCTGGTTGACAAAACCAGATATTACCAGAAGATGGCAAATGAGACTTTGCCGAAACGTTGTGAAAATAATCCTTATGGGGATAAAATACACAGAACCCGGAGCGAAACCCGAGAAAACAGNTATATATATAATAGTAATAATATCGTCTTTATATATCTTCTAATACATTTGAAGCAAATTAATCAAAATTAATCAGGAACAGTTCATTTATTATATGAAGATAAAAGGCGAAGTTCAATTTACATGATAACAAGTCATCATTCAACTGCTATTCCACTCAAATATATAAATAATAGTAAAAATAATCTTCATCCATGATAATAGTAATTGAACAATTTTAGCGTTTAAATTTCGTTAGTTCAGACTTCCATTCTGTAATATTATAGGTATAAAATGATTCGAAAACCATGAAAGAACCAATACAAATGAAAAATGAAAAAGAATAACTGAAGATAACAATTATATAAAGCAAAAAACCCTGAAATGAAATTACAGTGAAATAAAATACAAGTCGAAAATAGATCAATTCAACAAAAAATCGAAAACTAAAAAAAAAAAAATTAAGAGGTTCCAAGTCGAGTTACTTTACTTTACGACGTTTCGATTGTTAGTATCCACAATCGTCTTCGGGTGATGACTAGGTTTCCATATGTTGCGTATTTTTACGCAAGCTTGGCTGAAAACATTGTTGGACAACATGTATGTGGCTTCTTTGAATTTCCTTCTGAACCACCGGGCCAATTCCCGCCAAACGGTCATCTTCCGCTAAATCGGTGAGGCGGAAATAGGAAAGAGGGGTAAAGTGAAATGAGATCAAATGCTCTCATCTGCTCCTAATCTCAAAGAATCTATTACCGGTATGAAATTTCCCGTATGCACTTTTCTATAGTACAAGAAATACCTACTTTGCCAGTTTTGAAAAGTTCTTGCAATTTAAAATACATCTCGTGCATTGAAAATTCCCGTGAGGTAATTTACTCATATTTTAATTTACTAACTTTTAATGATGTAATGTTGCATAATACTCCAGACTGAATTTTAATTGCTTATTTCCGCGCTTTTACTGTGGATTATAAATTCGAGAAGAGCTGATAGGAATAATTAGAAAGCAAATTGTTTCTCTCTGCCGGAATGACAATGTGGAGCCGGGAAGTATGATGGAATTATTTTGTGATAATTAGAGCTGTCGTTAATTCACCGACGGAAAGTTAAATAGGCTCAGGGAAACTTGCAGGAAGTTATGATTTATAATTGAGACCTGTTACATTGAGATGATGCTGATTTATGACAGGGTTTATTGGTTGTTTTTTAAAAGACTACCGTTTAATTTCTAGAAGATTATTCCTGTTATGATAAAACAGCAATTCAATTCAACCCAATTCATAAACAACTATATTTATTCAAATATCATTTCAGATAGTACGTTTCAAGATGAAAATTCATTGTGGAATAAAATCAGATATCATTCACATGAGTTCTACTTTAAATGAATGGTAACAAATTGCACTTACATGGAACACTGTCATCCTCACTAGTATACATCGATGTTTTGCCGTAAGACACTTGCCTTAAGGCTCTTCAGTACCAAATTGGATAACATCATAGAAAATATACCCAATTCATTCATGAATTACGATTTTAAATGTCACGGAATAAGCTTGATCTGCTTATGTCATCGAATGTTTGAAATACAAACTGAGTAAAGAAAAGTATCTTCTGTATGATTCAGTGTTCATATAGAAGTATTTGTTTCGAAAGAATTTTTTTCTTTCGTGTTATTCAATGTTTATATGAAAGTAGCTATTTCATGAGGACTTTCTTTCAGTTTGTGTCTGAGAGTTACTTCTTTGCAAGATCTACACATCCATGTATAGAGTTACTTATTTTCAAATTGATTACTTCCTTCCTTTCCTTGGAAGATTCCCTCATCTTTTTTTGTATCAAGATGGAGAAAGCCAAAAACTTTTTTCCCAAAAATGAATCACTCTTAAAAATATAACCCCTTCAATTCAATCATATCGTATTTCTTCAATTATATAATTTTTCGTGAAGACATCTGATACTTCATTGGTGATATATGATACATCAATCATTTATTGGGATTTGATTCTGTAGATTACACAATAAATATAATATTAATGAAAGTTCAGCACTGGTTATAACGATTTTTCTGCCTCGTAGGGGACTTATTTCCATCTGGAAAATGTATGCCGCTCTACCAGCTATTTCAAGTATCCATTTTGTAGAAAATACTTCTTTGATATGTTTCAGTTTCTTATCTGACTGACTCCCACGAATCTTATTACCCGAAGGTGATTGAGGAAACTAATAATCGAGTCCACAATGCCAGAAATTTATTTTCGACAGCTCAATATCAACAACGCGTCTGGTCCTGTGTCTTACAAGAAAGGGGTTTTTCCTTGCATTCAGCCTATTTCCAAAACGGTCAAAAAAAATCTTCCAAATAACTACAGACCGATCGCTTTCCTATCAGTCGTATCAAAACTTAGGGAGAAAGTTGTGAACTAACATATCTTCAAATATTTGTGAGGCTTCAACATCTTGAGCGATCATCAGTTTGACTTCCGGAAACAAAGATTAACAGGCGACTTTCTATCGTTTGTCACCCATATTTGGAATAACACAATCTAGAAACATGGAGAGACAAGAGCAGTGCCGATTTTAAAACCTACGACCAAAGTCTTAGAGGGGCGAATTTAAAAATGATTTGAGAGATTGCATGCTTGAGTTATATAAACTTATATCTATAATTATAACATTATTTTAACCTTCCTTCCTACCCCATCCATCATTTATTTTGCTTATAATAGATGCGGTACCCTAAAAAATTTTCGCGTCTCCGGCGGGCTTTTCTGTATGTATATAGTCTTTATGACTTTAGCCTCCCCTGTTCTCACATGCACGAGCCGTCACTGATACATACAACATTCGAATGATTTGAATCATTTGAATGATTCCATTTGACATCTCGAGATATCTCGAGTGATTGCAATAATCGAATGACCGATTATTGTTAATTTGAATGATCCCATCACTATGGCATTGAATCAATGCCACAAAAACCCAGGCATCGGTTTTCTCCAAGAAGATACATGTCTCCGAACCGGATATAATAGTAAAAGGTCAGACAATTCCGCTTTCTGCTTCGATAAGTAGAAAGAAGGTCAGTAGTGTTAGGCTAATTGCACACACACCGATTTTGGACGCCCGACTTTGTATCGGTCGTCCAAATTCCAATAGTGAACCACATGTGGGAACGGGACCTGGCACACACGCCGACCGGTGGTCGTCGCCGGTAAAATACCGGTGAGCAGCAGTCCACCGATATAAAATCGGCCGTCCAAAATCGATGTGTGTGCATTTAGCGTTAGGTTACTTGAGAATGGTATAAAAACCGAAACCTTCGTCGTATTAATATCAATACATTAAGTAAGTGGAAATTAGACAAAGTATTTTATCTTCATCATTTAATTGAAGATGAATTTCCACAAAATAAATATGTCATCAATATCACAAAGTGATCAGTTTTATAAACCTACCTTCCACCAATGTTCCATTGAAAATGCCATTGTGATATGGTGAAAAAAACCCAGCTCTACAAACACACTGATACTTTCCTCTGGTCCATGGAACTCCATTCAATGTTTGCTTATAGCTGCACTGAAAATGAAAGGTTTCACTCAGAAATAATCTCGGAGCTGATGAAGTCACTGAGACGAAAATATGTAAATCATTTCGAACTGTGAATTTACAGGGATGCACACCCCTATGTATGTTTGTTTTCCCTTAGCGAAACCAATTACGGAGATACACACATGTATTGATTGAGACGTTGTGGACACAAACAGAAATATCCAATATAAGATGCGGTAAAGTAAAGAAAACGTGAATATAACATGAAGCTATTTTATTATAGTTTAGTGCCCATACAGTGTGTAAAAGCCAAATGAAATAAATTCATTATTTCGGTTACTGTACATATTAAAAAAAACCGAAACATGCCAAATGTAAATTATAATTTGACATTCTTCAACGTAAAAATGCCACCCCTACCTTCAACCTCCTTTGGAATGTCTCTTCATTCTCTATTCAAAAATGTTATCGCTGTCAAGTTTATTGCAACAATCAAGATAAAATAAATTAAAAATATTGTGGTTACCGAAATTCCATAAAATACACCCAAAAACTAAAATGTAATGCAAAACGCAATGAAATGTAGAATACGAAAAAGAACTATGGATGTTAACGAAGTAGATGTTCAAAATGTTCACCGCGAACGTCTTGGCAACATCCTTATCTCAAATGAAACTGTCTTCTAACATTATNTTGCATCCATCGTGACACCTAAGAATTTAGTGTGATCCGATATTGGAATAGACCTATTTTGGAGTTTTACATATAGAGATTCCTCGCAGTTTATTGATTTGTTAAAAATTACTAGTCCTGTTTTGGTAATATTCAATTTAAGCATATTTGCCTCTGACAATTTGACTATACTATTTGACTTGGCTGAAGCTTTGGTTGAGACTTCTAATTCATTTGTTCCAGTGATAATGACTGATGTGTCATCTGCGAACTGGTATACACTACCAAGATTCAAGGTTTTGGGTAAGTCGTTCACATATAGAAGGAAGAGTATTGGTCCAAGGATAGAGCCCTGAGGTACACCCTGCCTAATCATAATTCTACTAGATATATAATGCTTCTCTGCGTTCATTATGCTAACAACTTGGGATCTATTTGATAGGTGGGTATGAATTCATAACCCACACCCCTTATACCATACTTTCCCAGCTTATTTAGGAGTTTTTCGTGGTTTACCATATCAAAGGCCTTTGAGAGGTCATAGTACAAGCCGACCTAGGTTTTTTTTGCTATCAGCATTCTCTGTTATTTGTTTTACCGCATTAAATATCGCCATTTCGGTGGACATTCCTTGTCTGAAACCAAATTGGTGGGAGTTCAGAATATCATTCGAGTTTATAAATGAGATGAGCCTATTATAAATTACGCGTTCAAATATCTTACCAGGTGATGGAAGTAATGATATTGGTCGGTAGTTATTAATCCATTATTATTATATCGCCATCCACGTTGCCCTCAATGAAAAAAGGACCAATGATATGATTTCCTACAATCCCTGCCCAAACATTAACCTTTTGAGGGGGTTGCTTGTATTTTTCTCTCATCCAGTGAAGATTTTTCGTTGACCAGTAGCGCCAAATTTGCCGATTAGCATGACCGTTAAGAGACAATGTACTCTCATCAGAAAACTTAACGCCTTCTAATTGGATGATATTATTAAAATTTGTTCACAAAAATAGGTTCTTCTATCAAAATCGTCTTCAATGAGCTCCTGAGTAGGTATCATTTCATAGGAATGCATTTTATTTTCTTTTAATATGTTTACTATCGCTGTATGACCAACATTGAATGTAGTGGATGCCTGTCTATTCGATGTATGCGGGTTTTCCTCAAACTCGAGCATCACATCTAATTTGAGTTCATCATTCATCGCATTGGTAGCTGCTTTTTTTATCTGCCCCACATGACCAAGCTTGCGAAACTGCTTCTGCGTTTTGCTTATTGTTTTTTGAGATATGTGCGGTAAATTAGTAAATTTCTAATGAAATAGGCGAGCTACTTTCTGTTGTGTTCGGGTTTTATCTCCATAACCAATCATTTGAAAAACTGTTTTATGCATTTCCGTTAATCTAACCATTTGTCAGACTTGAAGTTAACGAATTTTAAACTTACGTTGAAATACTGACAACTAATGTTGTAACATACAAAAAGAGTTTTAAACTAACATTGCCACGAAAATCTGATGGAATTGAATTTCAAACGAGAACATATTCTGTTTCAGAATTATTTTTACATTGTCCAGGATTAATTCTTGAAGTTCGATCGGTAATCTTTTTGAACNGAACATTTATCAATCATCTACTTATATCCAAACACCGAACAGTTGCTAATTTTAGAAATAAAGGATATTGATCAGCCTCCTAGTGTGGATGGCAATTGAAATACTGGTCTTATACTGGTGTACGTTTATTCACATTGAAAATGATAAAATAATGATGAAGAAATAATAATATTCATCTCACCAATGTCACCAAATCTGTTTCAAAAATCTGTTTGAAATCTGTTTTTCAGTTGACCAGCTGTCGCCCTACGAACGACAACCCACAGAAGTCGAAACTTCTGCGAGCTAAGGACTAACGAGGTCTTACATTTTATCGTGTAATTCTTAAATGTTATGGAGTCTTGGAATCCTGTCAACTGTCAATTATTATTTTACTTGAAGAGCATAAAACAAATACACATCTCTTGGCCTGTATTACATCTTGGTTGTCACTGGTGTGATGAACAATAAATACTAATTGATCATTTTAGATATGAATGAAGTCTGAGACTTGCATTTCATTTGTTGACAACGTTAGAATAAACTATATTGATTGTCGATTAAATCAATGATGCAATTGATAAACTATTGAAGAAAATCATTTCGCAAAGTAATTTTTTCTCGGTCACTCGTGAATTACGTCAAGCTCAAACTACGCTTTTCTTAAGATCATTTGTCGTCAGGCAAAAGTCTTATGAACATTCAAACTTGAACTCATGAACTTATTGATAACTAATAATGATTATTTTGTGGAAATTATGTTCACTGAGGATACACTATAAAAACACACTTCTGTCTATTCTCAACGAACAACTTGATCCAAACCACAGTCCTCTCCTGAACCTAAAACCAGTTCCCAAAACCTACGTTTTATACATTTTTTTTTGTTATGTTCGTCTATACCTTTGTTATAGACAATGTAGGTATCAAATTATTTATGATAGGTATAGGCAATGTAGGTATAAATACTCCTTAAAACCTTTGAAGTTACTATGCTTTTGGTAGTTTTCCTGAACATTTTCTATATGTTTTGTGCAAATAACAATATCCTGAAAGAAGACAATTCGTACAAGTGTACGTATACAGGGTGTTCCTTAAACACATGCTAATATTTGAGGAGGTGATTATTAGACCCATTTTAAGAAAAAAACTTCCTATGGACGTATGTCCTAAACGCCTTAACTTTTGAGATACAGGGTGGCAAAATTTTCAAAAATAATCAGTTTTTTAATAATAACTGAGATAATTTTGTAGACATCTTTGGCATATTTGGTACATATGTTCCATGC